GAAGAGGGGAGTTTGTTCCTCTCCTTTTCCAGATTCTAGAGGCTTCTCAACCTTGCCTTGGTTGCATCACTCTGACTTTTGTTTCTTTCATCACATCTTCCTCACTGGCTCTACCCTTCTGCCTCCCTCTTTTGAGGGTCTTTGGGATTTGGCCCACCATGATGACCCATCTCAAGATCCTTAACTTAATGACATCTGCAAAATCACTTTTGCCATGTAGGGGAATATATTCACATGTTGTAAGGATTAGGTCATGGACAACTTTGGGTGCTACTATTCTGTGTACCAAGGGAGTAGATGTCCTTTTTGTTTCCAGATGCAGCTTCTTGACAGTTATGCTTCCATCATCTTGAAAACCAAGTCTGAATCTCCTATCATCAGAATATTCCACCCACTGTTCTATTTATGTATAGGCACTAAATATGCTCTAGTCAATTCCTCAAAGACATTATTTAAAATATGTCTCACTCTCACTCTCTCTAATATTACTGTCATAATTCTTAGTAATTTGTGCTTCAAGGAGATAATCTTACCAACATTTTGGTAGCTGAGATCCTTCATTTCCAGTCTTTGAATGATCCTGTCTTCTTTCCCACTCTGGTCAATTTTCACCCATGGTAATGCCTAGGGCATTGTCATTACCCAAAACAGGATCTTTTCCATAATCTCAATTTGAAACATCTCACTCTGAAACCTGTTACTTACCCATCAACCACATTTGCTTTAATACCCAGAACTGACAATTAATCAACCTCCACTGAGAGTTACAATCCATCAGTCATATTACTTTTCACTTTTTTCTCTCTCTGTGTTACAATTTCCTCTTTAACTAGCTTAAATATAAATGGTCCATAATCATGCCAAAGAAAGAAAGAAAGAAAGAAAGAAAGAAAGAAAGAAAGGGAGGGAAAGAAAAAATAAAAGTAGGAAAAATGGAAGAAGGGGGGAAGGAAAGAAAGAAGGAAGGAAGGAAGGAAGGAAGGAAGGAAGCAGAAGAAGCAGTGTTCTGAAACTTACAGCTTTTCACATATTAATTGAGTCTCCTACTTAGATATAAGACTGCATTTCAAATTAAATCCCTGCCAAGGGCATTTTTAAATATTTGATGCAAATGACTTCTATTGAACAAGTAAATGGAAACCTAGTTTCACAGAATGTGAAAATAATTTTTCACTGTAAATTTCTATGTAAAAGAGATTTGAAATAAACATATTATCAATATTTTGAACATTAGAAAAGGTAAAATTATAAACATTCAACTATATTTATTATTTTTTAAAAACCTTCCAGTTTAAAATCTTTTCAAAAAGGGGCACCAGAGTGGCTCAGTCATTAAGTGTCCAACTTTGGCTTAGGTCATGGTCTCATGGTTTGTGAGTTCAAGCCCCACATAGGGCTCTCTGCTGTCAGTGCAGCGCCCACTTCAGATACTCTTGTGTCCCTCTGTCTCTGCCCCTCCGCCACTCACAGAAGTGCTCTGTCTCTCTCAAAAATACACATTTAAAAAAATCTATTCAAAAAATATTTTGTTACAAATATAATTTAAAGGGTATATTTAAAAATCCATAGGGGTGCCTGGGTGGCTCAGTTGGTTATGTGTTTGACTTTTGATTTTGGCTCAGGTCATGATCTCACAGTTTATGGGATCAAACCATGAGTAGGATTCTGTGCTGACATTGTGGAGACTGCTTGGGATTTGATCTCTCTCTCTCTCTCTCTCTCTCTGCCCCTCCCCTGCTCATACTGTCTCTCTTTCTCAAAAATAAAAATAAACATTAAAAAATAAGTAAATAAAAATAAAAACCATAAATGTATTAAACGAAGTTTAATAAATCAGTTTATGTTTCCATCCTATCTAGAAAAATGTTACATTTAATAAAAGTATATCTTGTGATTCTTCAAATATTTAAGAGACATTTTAAGCTATAGAGTTAATGAAAATGTAGAAAAATAAACATACTTTATAACAAAGAGCAATTATACATTCAAGTTGATAAAATTCAGCACATCCTCAATACTGTTTTCCTATTATTTGTATCTATAAATTTTCCTGAAAATTTAATAATTAAAGCATTCCTTCATGTAAAAAGAATCTCATACTTTTTATGATTATAGAATATGACAATGTTTCCAGTCCCTAAAAATGTGTTTTGAACAGCAAAAATGCAACTATTGAAAATGTTATTTTTAAAGTAGTTTTTTCTAAAGCCTTTCATTAATCAGAAAATCAGTAGATTTTTCTCTACAAATTGAGTAATTAAAGCAAGGTATTACATTGAGGTCATCATCCAATATCACTCTTGTTCTAAATCTCACCAGTAAATAATGAATTTGACATGATTAATGCTTTAGTTCCTGACGAGGGTTCTCTATGTGATGTAGCTTTATAATCTGTTATCACTCAGCTTCACAGTTCTTGTTTTGCTATTTTGGCTGTCCTTTTTATTTTGAAATCCATGTCCTTCCAGCAATTCACTTTGTTCAAATCACTTTAGGGAAGTCACTGGTCCCCCAGTGACCATACTTCTGTTGTCTTGTAACTGAACAACTTCCAAAGACAATAAATGCTTGAGATATAGCACTTTTCTTCAAATACCTTTCTTTTTTCTTTGTTTCTCTCTCTCTCTCTCTCTCTCTCTCTTTTTTTTTTAAGTTATTAAACAGGACATTTTCTGCTTGCAGGGACTGCAGTGGAAAGGGGAGCATGGGAGAAGGGGTCTCCAATGGGAAGCAGGATGGTCCTTCCTCATTCCTGCATCAGTTATGAATAGAAACTAATTGAAACAAGGCAAACATCTCCTCTGTGTATATGGGCAGAGGTTGCAGGAAGTTACATAGTTTTAGAGATGTAACCCAGAGGGTAAGTGAAAGACACCAAGATCCCAGGCATGTGGGTAATTAAACTATGATAAAATAACTGTAAGTATTGTTATATCTTATTAGTTTCATACGGAAGAAAAGCAAGGTACTAATTTTCAGTTTCTATGTAGGAGACAGGTGAATACTAGTTGACTTTGGATTTCTAATACTGCATGCTTTTGGGCCATGAGTAGAGTATCCTGTGCCTTACAGGAAAAGTAAGATTAGTGAGGAATTTTGGTCCTAACCAATGGACTGGCTTTAAGGATCGTATTCAAAATAAAAATGAACACAAAAATTGATTTATATTGTATATGTCATTGGTGATTTTCAATAATTATCAAAAATCCATATTCAAGTACCAACTATTGATATGAAAACAAGTCATTGGTCATTTTGTTCATATTTGTTCCATTATAACATTATGTATGGCTAAACATGATTATGAAACAATTACCAAATATTTAATGACAACAATTATCAAATAATGATATGAGTGTGTCATAGTCATATTCTTGGCAATTTTTTGAGTAAACTGGTCACGGATCATCTTTATTTCTCTTATCGCTAACATTTCTGAGCAAAGAAAAAAAAACCTCAACGAATCTTTTTTACAACTTCACCTTCACTTATGAAAATATAGAAGATAGTGAATTAATATAACTTTATCTCAATGGAAGTTTTCCTAAAGGCTCAGCAGACGCTAGTTCTCCTTCCTCATTCAATGTACAATCTTGGCTTAAACTTCTCTGTTAATCAGCTCTCAGTGAGAATATTTCAACTGAGGACTTGAAGCCATTTTGCCCAAAATAAAATTACCATTTTTTAGGGGTACCTGGGTGGCTCAGTCAGTTAAGCCTCCTAATATTGGGTGAGGTCATGATCTCGCAGTAGTGGGATCAAGCCCCACCTCAGGCTCTTCTCTGAATATAGAGCCTAATTGGGATTCTTTCTCTCCCTCTTCCTTTTCCCCTTTCCCCCTGCTTGTGTACTCTCTTTATCTCTCAAAATAAATAAATAAACTTTAAAAAATTATTATTTTTAAAAATATTGACTGTTTTACTATTTTGAAATTCTGTGATTTATTGGAATTTTATAATCCAATTATTTATTTTATTTTATTTTATTTTGTTTTATTTTATTTTATATTAACACCCAATTTGTAAAAGTTTGTTTCACCTCCAGAAGAATGTATAGAGTGCTTATAAGGTACTCAACAACTTAGAATAATATCTCTTAAGATAAACAGCATAAACTGGGAGAGCAATTTTAAAACCATAAAATATGGATTTCATTCTATATCTTTGAAAATAGTTTGCTCATTTATTATTTTATTTCAAAATACATATTTTTATTGCACATTTTATCAAATATATTTTTAAGGTGATTTTAGCACTCATTACACATGTAATTTTATCATTTTCTTTACTTAAAATTTAAACGCATATGCAAACTGTACTTGAGAAGATAATCTCTTGTAGGAATACATCAGTGAACAAGGCTCTCATATAGGAAATAACATTAATTGTTACATACATACAAGCACACATACACACACTCCTGGAGATTCCTCAAACTGTGATCTATGATTTGTTTTTATTCATGTATACTGACACGTATAATAAGACAGATAAGGTTTCTTAAATTCTCCCTAACTCCAAAAGTAAATATAAGAAGATCTCAAATTTTTTACAAATGAGTTCTCCATTTTTGTAAAATAAATACTGCTTTACTTTTTCCACTTGAATAGAGAAAAAAATGATTTGTTTTTTTCTTTTTAAAGATATTTGAAGTCGGGTCACTGAAGTTGGGTCACAAAACTTAATCAAGATTATACATTTAAAATGCAAATAGGATTACCACCCACCACCACCAACACAAAATGTTCAATTATGTTTTGCTTTGATTTGATTTTTGTCTTTGAATTATAAGTCCCAGCTTACACACATCTACTGTGAAGGTTTTCTTCTATATAAAAACATAAGGATTCACACAGATGGTAAATTTTAAAGTATAATAAATGGATACATGAATACAGGCACAATTAGATTTCCAGCTGTGATATGTGGAATGGCAACTTTTGATAAAAATCCTTCATGTGTATCCCCTTTATGTCCACTTTTAGCAATCTGATTACTCACCCAGTCATGGAGGCAGCTTAAAAAGAGCCTGTGCTGGTTTTGTAATATCAAACACACGGTTAAATGATCTGCAAGTATGCTGAAGTTCTGAACAAAAGACAGCTACTGAAGCACAGCATGCAACTCAAGAACACTGTATATCCTGTGTGTGTACATTTGCCTTTAAAAAAAAAAAAAAGTACCGTTATGTACACAATTTCACAACATACATTTTGGGAAAGCTTTTCATATAGTAACGTTTCATATAGTAACATTTAAATGATTTGTTATAAGAACAACTTATTCTTAAGGGAAAAAGAAAACCATAATAAAATGGCTCTAGAAACAGTAATTCAAAATTCATTGTATGCAGAAAAATTGAAAAGCCATAGATACATAAAATTTCTATCTTTTCGTTCCACATGATATTGATAAAAATTCATTAGCAATGATAATTTATAAGCCCTAAAACAAAGCAAACTCTTAAAGTTTAATTTTCTTTCTATTTTCTCTGTGTGGTAATGGGAATAAAATTCACACAGCAGAAGGATAATGCACCCCATAATGTGACATGATGTACTGAGAATGCGGTATTACATTTCCAATGATATGCTTTCCAAAACTGTCTTCATGATGCCATGGAGAATCCTGCCCTTAGAGAATGCATCTGTTGAAGTGGATAGGTCATTCAAATAGATTCAATTAGATTCTAGCGTTAACATATTTCCTCTATCAAGGTGTTCAAGCAAACAATGAAATAAAACTAACCAGCAAGAATAACAAAAAACAGAACATGAGAAAGAATTTAAAACAGAACGAGTCATTTCTCTCCCCTGTGTATATGTCTCTTTAATCTCTCAAGTATTCTTGCCAGCAAAAAGGAGTCATAGGTTGCCTGGGTGGTTCGTCGGTTAAGCGTCCGACTTCAGCTCAGGTCATGATCTCATGGTTCGTGGGTTCGAACCCCATGTCAGGCTCTCTGCTGACATCTCAGAGCCTGGAGCCTGCTTTGGTTTCTGTGTCTCCCTCTCTCTGTCCCACCCCTGGCTTGCTTTCTCTCTCAAAAATAAATAAAAAAATTTTAAAAATTTTTAAAAAGGTGTCATATAATAAGGTATATTAATTTGTATATTTTATACACATATAAAACATACAACCATGTTTATTATATATATATATATATAGTATATATAATTTGGAATAGTATATATCTACTTTTGAAAGCAACAACATTAAGACATTTTTGTGCTGATTACTGAGCTATTTTCTTCATCTTTTAATACTCGTGGTGCTAGGGCTGGGATGATGCATTTATTTTACCTTGCTAGCTGTATGACTGCTATACTGAACTAAAAGGAGGTGCTAGAGAGAAAGACTGAGAATCTGAGGAACTCTGAGTGGACATAATATACCTAATTTGCTCACTATTCTTGTCAGCATCACTCTAGCAACAGTTCTCACTCTCCATGGATAGGTAGTTAACATGGCAGCAGTTGTTTTCAATTTCCTGTTAGCACTAGACAGCTGAAGCCTCGGCCTGAAAGGTCTAAGTCCAAGCTCCACACAGGCACTGCTGAAAACTTCAGACAACAGCACTTTTGTGGCAGTACCCTCTATGCATAGAGCTGAGCCCTATATCTGTGGGATCACTTTCCTAAGATTCTAGGTTCTAATCTCTTCCTTTCACTCCCCGAGCCCTAGATGTGGTAGTTACTTTCTGGAGTTACTACTTTTGTGTTTCCTCTTTTTAGTTCAGTTTTTAAAATCATAATGTTAGTTTCTACCTGTTAAAAAATGTCTAGGTTCTGAGAACTGGAAGGAGAGCTCCTTCCACCCTTATTATAAGACCATAGCTGAACAAGCTGAAGAATAATGACTACTTTGAACACATGAGAGAACTGAAGTTGTAAAGCAAACAAAGTTGAAATCTGGAGAGAGAGAGGAATCTGAAAGGAGAAATAGGATTAGAGCACTAAATGACCTAGGACAGATGTCAATGAACACCAAATAAACTGATAAGAAGATTCAGGCAAAAATGATTAAAAATTGCTAAGTTGAGCAACTTGAGAGTGAGAAATCCCTAGAGGCTGTATTCACACTCTCTTACAGGCCTTTCCTACAGGAACCTCTCAAGGTGCTCACAAGGATGGTCATGGAATCCTAGAAAAATTTTACCTAGGACACTTAGTGCTGGCTATAGGAAAAGTCCACCAAAGCCATGTCCCCTGTTGTCAAAGAAAAGTTTTAATGACACATTAGAAATCACAAGGAAGACTTTATTTAAAGTTATTGCAATAGGGCCAAGAATATTGCAACAGAGAAAGAAGATTGAATGCCACCCTACGGGAAAGGGGGGGGGGTGGCAAAAACTTGGAGGGATTTAAACACTGAGTGAGCTATTCGAAAAGTTCTAGAGGATTTTAGGGGAAAGGGTGATGAACAGTTACGTCATCTGTATTTGTTCATTAGTGTTTATCAAAGCTAGGCTCCCTTCCCACAGAAATGGAGAAAGCGGGGTTACTATCTTCCTTGATGATTGCTTTTCAAAGAGATGTTCCCAGGTTCTTGAAAAAGACATTCCTGGACTGTAAAACTGGCAAGAGGATGGGGAAGGATTTACATCTCAAAGAAACAGGGAGAAAATTTATAATTGCAGTTTTTCTAAAGTAAATGCTCAAACAGGGAGGTCCAGGGTCTAACACCAGGGGGAAGCCTGTCTGAAGTATAATTGCTTTAAATGGAACCTTAGGCTCTCTTTGGTCACTATCTATCCCAGCCATCACACTAAAACAAACAAAGAAACAAAAACAAAACAAAAGAAAACAAAAAAAACCCACCTTTAATCTGCAGGGAAATAGTCAAGAAAATTATACTCATGAGTACTGTGAAGAGAAACAGGAAAAATAAAGACTGTCCCCATTGGGAAAGAGCATGAATACATGGCTATATCTGGTTGAGAACCAGAGGCAGCTTTGAAAGTCACATTTCCCAACACACAAGGTCAGAGAGCCTACCTAAAGGTTAATCAGTGCCTCAGAGAATGTTTCCTTTCCTATGCTCCCACCAGCATGCCAATAAGCTTCTAGGAAAATCAATGGTTCGATACAGCTAGGATTGCTGGAAAAGTCAAATTATCTTTAGGGATCATCATCAAAAAAAAAACAAACAAAAACTGAAAACATATTAAAATGTGTGGTATAAAACCAGATTAGTGCTTAGATAGTGATTTACAAAATTAAGTGCTTATATTAGAAAATGAAAGATTCCAATTACTAAGCAAACCTTCTCCCTTAAGAGACTAGAAAAAGGAGAACAAATTAAATGCAAAGGAAGCAGTGTAGAAATCAATAAAATTGACAACATTAGGAAATAGAAAAAAATAATGAAACCAGAGCTGGTTATTGGAAGAGATGAATAAAATTGGTACTCTAGCTAAGCTGATTAACCACACAAACACTACCGCCATTACCACCAAGTATATATTTCACAGTATCAGATGTGAAAGAAAAGCCAGTTTGCTGCTAAGCCCATACACTCACAAACATGATAAGGAAATAATTTTATGATAAGGAAATAATTTTATGCTCATAAATTTGAGAACCTGGATGAAATATATCAATACTTGAAATACTACTGAAAGCACACTGTAAAAATGATAATTTGAAAAGATCTGTATCAGTTAAATAAATGAACACAGATAAGCTTTAACAATAACAAATTTTTAACAAAGTATTAATGACTAACTACAGCATACTATAAACTGAATAATATATCACAGCCAAGTCAGTTTCATCCCTGGAATGCAAGACTGATTCAACATTTGAAAATCAATTAATATACTTCACCATTTGAATAGAACATAAATACAATCTTCTCAATTGATGTAGGAAAATTATTGTAAAACCCATTTTTGTTTACAGAAAACTTTTAAATCTCAGAAAATTAAGAATGAAAGGCAACATCCTTTGCCTAACAAAGGGCAAGTATACTAAAATAAATAAATAGATATCAAAAAATCCCCACAAACACTCACACAAAAAATCCCCCCTACACAAAGACATCAACATGTATCACAGACACTACACAAAATTTAACTCAAAATATTTCATATACTTAAATTTAAACATAAATCTGTACAATCTCTAGGGGAAAAAATTAGAAAAATGTTTTAATAACCATGGTTTCAAGGAGAAATTATTGAATCTAGAACTGAGGCAGGGAAAAAAATAAAGCTTGAAGCTTATCAATAAATAAGGACTAAATAAATAATATAGACAAATACGCAATACATGAATAATGGGGAATGCCAAAAGAGCAAAAGAGTCAACCTGAAAGAATTCCCCATGATCAAAACTGAAACTATTTGATCAAAAATAAATATTCATGAATTTGTATTCATATGAATTATTGAATAAATTAACAAATGGAGTGAAAGAATAAATTTTTCCTATAGAAGGATTTTAAGCAATAAATGTATAAATAATGAAGGACATAGAAAGTGATCTTCAGAAAACCAGTATAATAATTATTGTATCCAAGAGCGCCTGGGAAGCTCATTCGGTTAAGCATCCAAATCTTGGTTTCGGCTCAGAGTTTCGTGGGCTCATTTCCGCATCAGGCTCTGAGTTGACAGTGCAGAGCCTGCTTAAAATTCTCTTTTCCTCTCTCTGCCCCTCCCTACTCACACTGTCTCTGTCTCTCTCAAATAAAATAAAATAAAACTTAACAAAAATACTATATCTAAAATACACAGATGAATGCTAAATTAAAAGAAAACTTTTAGGAGAGTCTACATGCCTCAGTCAGTTAAGCCTCCAACTCTTGATTTTGGCTCACGTCATGATCATGAGTTTGAGCCCCTCCTCATGCTCTATGTGGACAGTGGAGCTTGCTTGGGATTCTCTGTCTTTCTGCCCTTCCCCTGCTCACATTCTCTCTCTTTCTTTACTTCTCTCTCTCTCTCTCCCTCAAACATAAATAAACATTAAAAAAAAATAGACAAAACTTTAAAGAAGAGCTGGGGTTTTTCATAGCTTCAAAGTTATCTCTTCCCCAATATATTTATTAATTACTGTGCTTGTTTAAACATATATTTACAAGTTCTTTGATATTCGTCCTGCAATAAGTGGAATTTAATTCCCCTCCCCAAGACTGATGGTTGAAGTTAGTGACTCCCTTCAT